TATAGGTACAACCTGCGATCGCAGGTTGTCTCCTTGCGATCGCAGGTGACCCTTTTGCGATCACAGGTTTGGTCGCAGGTTGCCTTCGAGGTTCTTTTGTGCCCAAAATTCATCCGGAAGTGAAAACTCAATACCTGCGATCGCAGGTTGTGTACATGCGATCGCAGGTTGGTCAAAAAGTGTCAAAATAGCATCCTACTTCATTAAAAAAGGCATCAGACGCGTTTATTTCAAAACCTGCGATCGCAGGTTGTGTACATGCGATCACAGGTGCGCCGTTTTTGCTGATGGACGTATAAATAGACCCTGATAACCTTCCAGTAACCTAAGTTGGCGATTCCAGAGGTTCCAGACGACGAAAATACGACTTTGGAGGTGTTTCTTCTCCGATTTCAACGATTTCTGAAGATCTGAAGACTGTGGATCATCTCCTACGTTTAGTTTAGTAAGATTTAGTAGTTTAATGTCTCTTTTTATTGTTTTAGATCAGATTTTAGCCATGTCTGGCTAAACCCTAGTTTTCAGTTCTGCAAAGATAAGTACTTTTCATGTGATTGATCATTAGATCTAGTTTTTGATTTGTGTTTCTATCTAGATTCTTCAGTTTTGTTCTTAATGAATGTTTGATTTTGATTCTTGTTAGTCTGATCACCTAGCTAGGGTTTTATCATTCCAGTTAATCAGTTAATAGAATCTGTAATTGTTCTAATTAATTGGTAATAAGTAACAAGTAATAAATCGGTTACGTGTTTAGGATTTGACTTTATTATAAACTGTAAAAATCATACCTTTACGTTTCCGAGCTTGTGAGACGTATTGGGTATTGTTGGGAATTTTACAAAGAACTTAATGCAACTTTTCTTATCTTAATTAAGAGCTTGTTTGATTAGACAATAAAGAGTTAGGGTTAATTGAAGAGCTTGTTTTGGTTAACTAAATAAGGTCAAAGAGAAATTACTAGAGCTTGTTAGTTTTTCTCAGTACCAGCTTAGATAGAACGCATCTCAAATAATCAGATCTGGATCAGTTGCATGATTAGGAAAGTCACAGCAGAGTTGAAACCATTTTTATTATTGATTTTCGTTTACTTTATTATCACTGCATTTCTAGTTATTAGTTTTAATCAAAAAACCCCCCTTTTATATTCTGTTTCTTGACTAGATGTGTCTGATGCAAAATGGCATTGACTTTTAGGTTGTGTCCCTGAGGATTCGACTCTGCTTCCCTGTGCTATATTTTTAGTGCAACCAGCAGTGATAAATTTATTTGTTTAATACGTGCGCGACAACGTGTTAACAGTATTCCATCCTAGGGATGACTAGACCCGTCGTAGGCATGCCTGGTATTCCAGCCCGAGGCTGATTGGGCCAGGTATGAGTGTTCGTACTTGTTAGCTGGTTGTTCATGTGAGTTGTTTCGGGAACTGAAGGATGCAATATCCTGTCAGCACAAGAGAATTCACTTCAGGAAGGGAGGGGGATGATGGGTCCCCACTATTTTGGATCATCAGGATTTTGCCAGGTTTGTCAAGGTAACATATAGGAAAGACCTTCCGGAAGGGTTCGGTTGGATTCACATCACTTTTCACGTCTCGTAGCTACGAAAAGATGCATAATGGATGAGAAGACGGTTGTATCGCTGAGTGATATTCAGGACTGAGAGCACTTGAGCTATGTAGGGAGACCAATGCCAACATTGGAAAAGATCTGAGTAGAAAGATCTGAGTAGACTTGGGAGCCACAGTCCAAGATGCGGGAGCATTATCCCGGAGTTGTTCACCGCAGCAGACTTCGAGGACGAAGTCTAGTTTAAGTGGGGGAGAGTTGTAACATCCCGATTTCCCGATACCAGTTTAAATCTCCTAGAGTCAAGTTTTAAAGGAGACTCGACGAGTTGATAGGCTAACTCGTCGAGTAGATACCAGATCAGTCGCATGGGTTTTAGACCCTACTCGACGAGTTGGAGGACCCGACTCGACGAGTAGGTGTTGGAAAGTGAAAACCCTAATTTTTAGGGTTTACATCCTATTTAAAGGCCCTTAACCTTCCTCCTCAGACTCCTTTGTCACCTTCACGTCCAGAGAAACCCTAATAGCTAACTATCCTCCATTCTTGAGTGTGTGAAACCAAAAGAGAGTGTTTTGGAGCATTTCTTGAGGAGTTAAGAGCTTGGAACAAGGAAGAGATTGTAGATCCAGCCTTTCCAGTGTTGTGGCAGCAAGATTGAGGTATAAAGCTACCACCTTTACCTTTCATTGCTTAGATCTCCCTTTTTGTAAAGGAAATGGCCATTTCTAGGGCAAGATGGGGTCACATCCGGGTTTGAGCTTGTCACAAGGGCATAGTTTTTGATCTTGACTTCCTAAGGCCTTATGGACATAAAGCCTCAAGCTTTATGAAGCTTTAGCCCTCCTTCATGTCCAAAACCTTCCTCTAATGTTAGTTATGAGTGTTTTAGCTTCATAGAACCTTGCATGCACGTAAAGTTAGCAACTTTACGTGATAACAACACCCTAGGAGCTTAGATCTACTGTTTGGAGCTTTGGAGCAGCTTAAAATCGTTTGAATGAGTGATGGACTGAAGGGACTCGACGAGTTGCATGGTTAACTCGACGATTCGGTTGAAGAATTGTCCACATTGGCTTTGCATGGACTCGGCGAGTCAGTAAGAAGACTCGACGAATCAGTTAGGGTTCTTCTTGACATTTGGACACACATGGACTCGACGAGTTGGTTGGAAACTCGGCGAGTCAACTCGGATTTTTATGGTTTCTGAGTTTAAAAGGAACTCGACGACTCAGTAAGCTGCACTCGACGAGTCGGGTCAACATGGACTGTTGACCTTAACCGTTGACTTTGACTTTGACCAAGGGTTGACCAGTTGGACTTTTAAGGGTATTTTGGTAATTTGGGATTCTAATGGATTGGTTCTATGGAGGTTATAGGTGGTCGAGTTCGCGACTGTGATTCGGGAGTTGGATTTTATCACTACAGTCGGCATTGCAAGGTGAGTTATCCTCACTTTACTCAAGGGTCTATGGCACCAAGGTCGGCCCTTTTGATTTGTTATTTGGAATTGTTACTGTTGTGATATGTTAGCTCGACATCCTAGTAGATAGGATGGTTATATGTTAGTATGATCTGTTAGATCGGTATCCTGGTAGATAGGATGTGGTTATGCTTAGAGACCTGTAGTTGGTCTGACTGTCCGTATACTGTTAGGTGATTACCTGTTATATGTGCACATGCTTGTTATGGTAGTTAAGGGTATTCCATCCCGAGGATGAGTGGACCCTAGTATGTGGTCTTTATAAACCGTTATATGATTATATGATATAGGTGCACAAGTTTGATTATATGTGGGCATTCCAACCCGATGGTTGTGGGCCGAGAGTATTCCATCCCGATGGATGATTGGACTCGTAGTATGTGGGCATTCCAACCCGATGGTTGTGGGCCGAGAGTATTCTATCCCGAGGGATGATTGGACTCATAGTATGTGGGCATTCCAACCCGATGGTTGTGTGCCGAGAGTATTCCATCCCGATGGATGATTGGACTCGTAGTATGTGGGCATTCCAACCAGATGGTTGTGGGCCGAGAGTATTCCATCTCGATGGATGATTGGACTCGTAGTATATGGGCATTCCAACCCGATGGTTGTGGGCCGAGAGTATTCTATCCCGATGGATGATTGGACTCGTAGTATGTGGGCATTCCAACCCGATGGTTGAGGGCCTGGGGTATTCCAACCCGATGGTTGATTGGACCCATAGTATGTTGTTTGTTACTGTATGTGTATTGTTGTGTGTATGAGTATTTTGGGGGCAACTCACTAAGCCTTTGAGCTTACATTTATCGATTATTGTTTCAGGTACAGCAGATGACCGCGAGAAGGCGAATGCGTGACCGTACACTTCCTCGATTTATGACTATGATTTCTGGGAACTCTGATGTTTAAACTATTTTGAAAACAAATTGTAATAAGTGAATGGTTTTGAATGCTTTAAAAAGTTTTAAATTGGCTCGAATTTTATGTATGTTACAGTAATAATAAATGAAAATTAATTTCATTAATACATAATTTCTTTCTAATTCTTAAATTCCTCAATTAAAGCCTAACTATTTCCTATGTTTATTTATTTAAACTATTTAAAAAAAATTAAAAGAGAATTAAATACTTCAATTTTAATAATTTAACATTTTTTTAATTTTTCTTATAAATTTGGTGTTTAAATTTTTATATTTATTTTTTTTAAAATAAATTTGTATGATACACATGTGTCATAACTGATTATTAATAATAATAATAATAATAATAATAATTTAATAATAATAATATAATAATAATAATAATAATAATAATAATGAAAGAAAAAATAAAAGTAAAAATAACACACCTAAAAGGATGAATAATGCCATGTTGGTATGGATGTAATAATGTATCTCACCACCAAACATGAGCCGATCTTAATGATTATTTCTTTTTAAATTAATTATAGATTTTAATCATTAGTCATCTCCTTAATTCACTTTTCTTATCTGTAAATTCTTCAACTTTAATCCTTTTTAACACTTTTTTTGTTTCCATTATTGCCTTATTGGTCCAACTTCATCCTAGATAACTCCTATTAAGTCATTGTTCGTTATGGTTATGGTTGAAACTTGAAAAACACATAAAATATAGGAAACAAATGAAATGAAAAAGAAAAATAATAATAAATCCAAGTAATCAACTAAAATATTTTATGCTTTGGTCCTAATATAAAACGTCATTGTATTTGTAAACAAAGCATAATATTGTTTTATATTCTAAAGTTGTTTATTTATGTTATTTAACTTAATTGTTCTTAATTGGCTTAAATATAAAAAGCTTCATTTTTTATTCAACCCTTTTCGGAGGTAATGGACGAACACAAACATTCCATGACTAAAATTCAAGTACAACACAATCACAATGCCAATAAACAAATAAAATGATGAGTACGCATATAATATATAGTTAATTCTAGTCAAAACACCAAACTTGTATATACTTTCAAAAGGATACATAAAATATGAGGAATAGGACCCCTTGCCCTTTCTTCTTACTCCAAAGACAAATTAAAAAAATAAAAAATATTCGTACATCTAAGTTCTAACCCTCTCCAACGAATTTGAATGCGACCAAGTATTACATACATGCTTTAATTAATACACATAGTACAAACTAACTTAGCGTGATGTGAACTTAAATCATCCTAAAAATGGTAATTTTTTGCAATTTTGCCTTCTTCTAAAACCTCATTAGCCTACACACCATGGACCATCATCCTCCTTTTCCCCTTCAAAAGTAGAGACGAATGGACACAAAAGCCCTCAAGAAAAATTGGGTTGCTTTTGAAACCACATTAATTGTACAAAGGCATAGATAAAACATGGAGAAATGATCACAACACAACAATAAGCCTCCATGGACCTCAACTCCACAATGCACCACTTTTTACCCCTAAAAGTGAGAAAAAGAATAAAATTTTATGAGACATTATAAGTGAATATAGGCAAAAGTATATTCTATCATTTTCACATAAAAAAATTCGAACTTGTTAATTTCATCCTGTAACAAGTTGAAATTCTTGATGGGTTGATATTCGTAATCATAAGCGATCGATTATAATACCGTTTGGGTGTTTGTAGGGGCTCAAAGGAGGGCATTTTCGGTATAGTTTTTTGCTCGAAGATTCACATTCCGAAGATCTCGTAAATGATATAAAATTTCTTGAAGAAGTTTCATTCCTTTGTCACCCTTATTCATAGACCCGATACAATGTTTTAAAAATTCTCGATCTGCCTCTAAGGCTTGTAACCTTCCGTACAATTGATCCACTTCCTCTTCCATATCAATTCTCTTCTTCTCAAGTTCAAATCGCGTGACAGCCGTGTCTTCAAACTTCGTGGAATAAAACCCGTTCTCGTATCCATTTCTTACGGTCACACCATCTTCGCCCAATGTACTATTCGCATTACAAAGAGGAAGAAGTCTCTTCACCCTTGCTTGTTTTCCATTTTTCCCGATTCCATTTGCAGTATATTCGACAACATGTTCATTGAAGCCATAATTTCCAATCTCTTCGTACTGGTCCTCGGTTACTGTTGTGTTAGCAAAATGTCGATCCTCTTCATCGCTCAATGTGAAAAGCTTCTCTTCTAGAACTTTCAATTGTTCGAGGATCGACACCCTTTCTTCCTCAAAGTCCGCTAACGATGACTCCAAGTCCAAAACCGAATCAATCGGGGTATTTTGATGATTCCGATGTTGACTTTCTTGATTCCGATGTTGGCTTTCTTGATTCCCCTCGAAGTCAATCGACAATCCATCATCGTCCTCGGAGTGACTCCAAGAAATTGATGACGTTCCCGTTTTAGTACTGCCCCGCAAAACCCTACTCTTCTCTTTTGCCTCGTGTTCCAACACTTTCTTTCGGAACAATTCCAATTCCTTTTCCTTTTTAATCATAAGTTCATTCAAGAGTTGTAGAGCTTCTTGATCGTATTCCGACTGTTCTTCCATCATTCGTTGATATTGTAACGCCTCCATTTGCATGGCCGACTTTTCTTCTTGAAGTCGGTTTATCATTGCCATGGTCTCATTAGCGGCCACCATCGAAGCATTCCTTTCTTCTTCCAATTCCCTGTATAACTCATGTAAGGCTTTCCTCTCGGCTTTCAAAGCCGATTTCAACTTCTCGGCGGTGTTCACAGGTTCGAAAGTTGTACTTCCATGAAATGAATCTTCCGTTACCGATTCTTTCATCTCGGGAATCAACCAATTCCTGTGGAATGGGTTTAGGCTATGAATTGAAGACGGTGTTTCCGGAGCTTTCTCTTCCTCGGAATCTAAACAAAATACGAAAACAGAGCTTTATTGAATCTTGAAATTAGGATTCAATTGGGTGAATATATTTTTCTTATGTCACTCATAAAGATTACCATTTTCAAGATCTGAATGCAAAATATTAGAATTTGTTGAATGTTCTTCTTGTTTGATCTCATCACATGCATCCAAAACTGGAATCTCTGTTCCGATTGAAACATCATCTTCTTCATGAACTGCAAAAAAAAGTTGAACTCTCTTAAAACCGAAATAAATTGGATTTGAACAGCAAGTTTAAATTTACCTGAATGAATATCGGAATCACTTTCTTGAAGTTCTTCAACATCGATCGATGGTATTTGAATTCGTTCATCAATTGTGACATGTTCATTTCCAAAATCAATCAAATTCGCATAGGAAACACGAGTTCTCACAGAAAATGTAGATGGGTCCTTTGTTATATGATGAACAGAATCATCAGTTTCGGATGAATCAATATCTGAATCGCTTTCGTGAAGTTCTTCAGTGTTGATTGGTGGGAGTTGAGTTTTGTCATCAATGAGGACTTTCTCATTACCGAAATCTATTAAATTCTCATGGGAAACAAATGTTTTCTCAGAAAACTTGAGTGATGCCTCTGTTTTCTGTTGTACAGAGTCATCAATTTCTGATGAATGAATATCTGAATTGCTTTCGTGAAGTTCTTCAGTGTTGATTGGTGGGAGTTGAGTTTGTTCATCAACGGCGACTTGCTCATTACCGAAATTAATTAAATTCTCATGGGAAACAAATGTTTTCTCAGAAAACTTAGATAATGCCTCTGTATTCTGTTGAATAGAATCATCAATTTCTGATGAACGAATATCTAAATCTCTTTCTTGAAGTTCTTCAGTGTCCATTGATGGGGCTTGAGTTTGTTCATCATCGACAACTTGGTCATTACCGAAATAAATTAAACTTTCATGGTAAGCAACAGTTTTCTCCGAAAATTTAGATGATTCCTCTGTTTTCTGATGATCGGAATCATAAATTTCTCCTGAATTCACCTGTGCTTTTTGAAAATCCCCAAACTCATGATCTTCTTCTTCTGGATCAGTTCGAATTTCGTCTGTTTTCGGATCACTTAATTCAAATGGAAACAACTGATTTCCACTGTAATCAATGAAGGAATGAAGATCATGTGAATTTAAATCTTCCCCTTTATCAAACTGAATCAAACTCTGTTCAAATGAATTCAAATCTCTAATCACTTCAATCTCAGCTTCCTCTGTTTCAAGTTCTTCATTACCGTCAATTTTGTTGGTTTCTTCAACATAAAGCGATTCTATCTGGTCATCATCAACGAGTTTTTCGATATGATCATCAAGGGAATTCCCTTTCTTGGCATTACCCAACATATCCCACAAAGGATGAATAACAAAACAAGAAGAATCATTGACAATTTTTCTCTCAAAGTTTATTCTACAGCAAGAACACTTCAAATTCACTTCATCTTCTTCATCACTCTGAATCGCATCAATTCTTTCCACCTTCGAGAACACAAAATTCCTTGACTCTTTTTGAAATCCCAGATCGGAGGATGAACAATCCTCACACATATCATGTGATACCGCTAGCTTTTGATGAATCGAACAGAACCCTATATGCGAAACTTCCTTTGAATGAAGCTCACATAGATGGTATTGAAAATTGTTGTCATCGGATTCGAGAAATTTATCAATTCGAGCACACCAGAAACATGGCGGTTTTAAGCCGAAGAATTGGGCAAAATTGACGATTAAATAGGAGAAAACGGAATTGAGGAGGAGGAGGATTATAAGCGTCCATTCAAGAACAGCATAAATGAGAACTAGAGTGATCCTGTTTGTATTGTTATGCAGCATGGTCGCGAACTTGTTTGCAGCCATGGCGGTTTCGCTGCTACAATGTTTTCCTATATGTATTTACAGAATAAGAAAATGGTGAAATTGGAAGAAATGATGAAAAGGGTTTTAGAATTTTGGGAGTTTTGATTAGAAAAACAGATAAATTATAGAGAGAGAAAGAAAAAGATGAAGACTTGAAGAGAGATGTTCTTGAAGCATTTGACAAATGGGGTATTGACTGAGTTTTAAGCAACATATTTAGACTCAAATGGCATTGGGGTTACATTGCCCATTAATTTTATAAGCAATCATTTTATAATCGTTAGTATATATAGAAAATATTAATCGTTAGTATATTTAGAAAATAGAGGTAGCAAAACCATAAAATAAGGAAGTGGGGCCACAAAGAAAAAGCAAGGAGTTGGGGGCCACTAAGGAGGCCACATGTTGGACCTAATCATAATTCATACATGTCTATTACTTTCTTGTATGAGAAAATAAGGTAGAAATTTTGATGTAACTTTTATCACACAAAATATATTTTTGAGATCAATTTGTAAATTTATGTTAAATATTTATAGCTAAAATAAAATTCTAATTACTTACTGAAAATATAGTTCTGAAAACGTGACACATTCTTTTAATTTGTATTTTTATAATAATCTACCAATAAACTATTTATAATTTAATCTAGAACAAATTACTAAAATTGTCCTTGTGGTTTTTAAAAATTCTGTGTTTGGTTCCTAACTTTTGTTTTATATTTGGACCGTCTCTGTGTTATTGTTTTATGTGTTTTTGATCCCTGACAAACATGAAAATACCATATTACCCCTGTTTATTTCTTGTAATTTTTTAACTGTTTATTTATTATTAACCAATTTAAAAAAAGAGAAAATTACAAATATAGTTTAATCCCTTAATTACTTTGTGGAAAATAGCAAAAAAAAAAAAAAAACCAAATTACAAATATAGCCATGAAAATCGTAGATGGTTTAAGCCCATCTGTGATTTTAGCATTCCATCTGCGAACGTACAAGTCGCTAAAATGCAGTCGTGCTTTAGCGACTTGTACGTTCGCAGGTGGTTTTTTTTATTTAGTTTTTTTGATTTTTTTTCGTATAAATACCCCCATCTCTGACTAAAATCGCAGATGAACTAAGTTCATCTGCGATTTCCTCTCATCCCACCTGCGATTTTGCGTTTTTTTTTTTAATTTTGACTACGAAATTGATAGGGTCTGACTACCAAACAACCTTATTATATATGAAATTTTACAAAAAAAATTATCATTTTAGTTGTTATTTCTTTGGAAAATTTGTTTAAAACCTCTCTAATAAAATGTTTGAAAAAAGTTTGAAAAATGAAATCGTCCATAGTGTCACCAGAGAGAGAGTTCTCCAACAAAAAGTTTGAAAAATGAAAGAAAAAATTACGTTTTTATACCCCTGAAAAAAGGGAAATCACAGATGAACGCAAAATCACAGATGGACTGAGTCCATCTGCGATTTTGGTAGCTATTTTTGTAATTTGGGTTTTTTTTTACTATTTTCCACAAACTAATTAAGAGATTAGGCTATTTTTGTAATTTTCTCTTTAAAAAATATTGATTTTTACATGTGGTCCCACCATCCCCATCCACCAAATCTTTCACCTGATCTCTTTCCTACTCTCTTTCTCTCTCTCTCTCTCTCTCTCTCTCTCTCTCTCTCACATACATAGACTCACTCTCACTTCCACCACCAGACACCATCAACCACCATCAGACACCTCCAGCCACCAACAACCATCACCAGACACCGACAACCACTACCGAGAACCAAAAATCAACTCTAAAAAAATATGACTAGAAACCTGAAAGTCACCACCACATCCACATGAGAATCTGAAATCAAATACACCACCACCACCAACCATTTTTGCCATTGACGGCCACCGCCACCCACTTCTATCATTGACGACCACAACCAATAATGCACCCCTATTGAAGATTAAACTTACACTTAAAAATTCTAGATCTAGAGGCTCCACATTCCCATTATACCCATTACATAGTTTTGTTCATCAATATTCTTCTGATTTCCGACCAACAACAAGCCCTGATTTTTTTTCTTACAAACCTTCTTTAGCGTAGAAAACCCCCAATATCCATTTTTTTTAAATCGATTCACTATCAAAGAGGATGGAGTAAAGAGGTGAACTAATTTCATAAATACATCGATTTCTGGATGGTGGTGGTGGCTCTTATTCACGTTTAACATTTTATAACTACAGAGGAGGGTATCTCATGTTTCAAGGGAAGGTGTCGCATGTTTCTGGATGGAGGGCAATCGGAATCTAGATGGTTTCTGGAGAGATACCAAAATCTAATATTTGTTGTGGTAGGAAATCGAAGGCTTACTCTTGAATACTTCCATGTCGTCATCAAACTCACCTACTATCGGTGCCATCATTATGGGCTTCGTCGGATTTGTCGATGAACATGAACAACTGAAGTGGTGTTGGAGAGAAAGGTGAGGGCAGTGGTGTTGGAGAGAAAGGTGGAGTAAAAAGGTGGTGGATGGTCTGCGACGACGGTGGAGGTTGTCGATGATGGTTGATGTACATGAGGACGGTGAGGGCTTTAACGGAGGAGAGGTGTCGCTGAGACTATAAACGGGGATAGAAGTGGGAAAGGTAAATGGAAGGTGTGCGGTGGGGTCTAGGTAGGGTGGGGTGGGTGTGACAGCCATATTTTTACGGCCAGAAAAGACCGATTTGTTTATGCTTATTAAATCAGAGTATTCTTTTAAAAGGTTAATTATGCAGAATTTGTCCCAAAAACATGATAATGATATTATCAAAGCATTTTCGAATAAATGTGTTTTATTTATATTTTTTAAACTCGGGATGTCAAAACTTATATAAAACATAAGCATAAACAGAGACTTACAATGTCTCAATATACTAAGGGTCTACATTTCCTTGAATCTCTCATTGTGCATGCACCTTTGTATCGCTACCTGTGATATAAAAAAATAGAATGGGTCAGGTTGGGGAACCTGCTGAGTACATAGGGATTTCAATACCACAATGTTACTATATATATATATATATATATATATATATATATATATATATATATATATCCCAAAACTCGCAATATACAAATATCTCTCTTATAAGCAATCTACCACATCCCACCGATCCTCACATAATCTATACTCTCTGATTTAGATATGAATGGCTTTAACTAATCCATACTCTCGGATCAGGAGTAAATAATTATATCTAATCTATACTCTCGGATCAAGGACAAATGATTATGTCTAATCTATACTCCCGGATCAAGGACAAATGATTATGTCTAATCCATACTCCCGGATCAAGGACAATTGATTATGTCTAATTCATACTCTCGGACCAAGGACAAATGATTATGCTTAATCTCTCGGATCAGTAACAGATGACTATACCAAATCCATACTCTCTGCCCAGGACGGATGTCAGAGTTCTACCCTCCGTGTATATTTCATACGTATTCTTAAAGAGATATTACCCAATATTAACTTAGGTCTTTTGCGCTAGTCTTATTTTATCTCTAGTAAGACTATGATGCTCTACTCCTAATACTTATATCATTATATCATGAAATAATATATATATATATATATATATATATATATATATATCTTAACGCATATAGAACCGCATCTGGTTCGTATATCATATATTATCAAATATGTCCTTAACACATATTCCAGGTAATAAGCATATAGCTCACATATAAACTCTTTAACATGTATTTAATACTTTAACTTATACTTGTATTAAAATCATGTTCATGAAAGGGACTATGCACTCACTTGATAAAAGTGACTGACGATTTCAGCAGCGCTTCGTTTCGTGCTTTGAAAAGACCTAGACGCATAAATTTCTAAGCCTTAGTCTACTTTCGTAATCCTGGTAACTATTATAGTCTAAGTTTATCACTAATCCCAATTTCTACATCAAGATCTATCAAGTAAGGATCAGCTAGGCATGACAATTGGGAGGCAGGACCATTTCGACATATAGTTTTTCTGAAATCCAACAACCAAGCCAACGTGACCATTCTAGACACCTATCCCATAAGTAGATCAATTAGTATAATGACTTGTAATTACTAATAAATCTTATTTATGGTTTCATAATATGGACTTATGACTATAAATATAAGTTGCACCGAAAACGATAGAGTGTAGCTTAACTTACATAGCTTTTAAGCGAAAACTGGGAAATCACACTGGCAGGACTCCGTCCTGCTAGCTACTAGATGTCAGGCTCTCAGGAACCTCGAAGCTTCACCAAAATATCCTAAATACTAAGAATTTTCTGGCTAAGGGAGTAGAAATTCGAGAGGGAAAGTTAGGAATAGAATGGGGGAAAGAATAAGCCTTGAACGCTATTTATAGGCTGTCATGGGGCCTCTCACGTCGTGAGAAATGGTGTCTCATGTCGTGACACGTGGCATTCATTGGATGGATCATGGTGGAGGCTTCTAGAAGCGCTCGCCGTGCATACTTACTTTGCAGAGGTGCACTCGGGAAAATTTTAAAAATTCATAACTTCTTCATACGAACTTTGTTTTTTACGTTATTTATATCCCCGGAAAACTCTCGACGATATCTATAATTTTCCTTTAGATTCCAACATCTAATTCTTACTTTATTTCTCATCCCTATTTTATATAATTGAATGATTTTGCTAAAATCGTAATTTTCTTGTACGGACTCCGTTTTTTGCATGCATTCTTTTTCTTAAAATTCATATCTTAAAGAGTAATATGAATTTCCTTTTGGTGACTTTAGCTAAAAGTCAACCATTTTTTGTAGCTTTTTTCCTCACACATTCCTTGTGCGTGACTAACTTTTATATCTTATAAAAATCATATCTAATTCATACGGAGTCCGATTTTTACGAAATTTATATTTTCGGGACCGGGACGACGTGTACTCTCTCTCTCTCTCTCTCTCTCTCTCTCTCTCTCTATATATATATATATATATATATATATATATATATATATATATATATATATATATATATATATATATATGTTTTGGCGCACTTATTTTTATGATTTACGGATGATTCGGTTTATTTTTCCTATTTTTCTTAATAAGAAACTTATATTATATAATCTATAGCGCACATGACTATAGATTATCCTATTCAAGTATTTTAATTTTAAATAATTATTACTTATTATGTGTAGCCCAAATTTGCGGGTGTTACAATTATCTCCCCTTAGGATGATTACGTCTTGAAATCATCAACAAAACAGGGGTTGTATAATGACTTTGCACGTTACCTTTCCATCCTAGGTGATACCCATAACTCTTTATGTATTTTATATTGAATTTCTAACTCTAAAACTGCTTGATTGATGGTGCTAAATCCTACACCTTCTCTTCTTTCTAAATTCGATCTCCATTGGAGGCTCCTGCTCCTTCCAGAATAGACTTAAACTAAGATAAGGTCTTTACTTCGACTACCCTAACATACTGATGGGTCATGTCCTTAATGACCTCTCATCGCATGATGTAATGACTAGACTTAGGTCTCTTTGAGTCAGACTTCAACATGAAATATACCTTCCTACATGTTCTAATGTGATGTAATCACATTCTAGCATGTAGCACTTCTAGCTATAGGCTACTTAATTTTAGTGGTGATCACGATACTTCTATTGATTGCTTTGATTATCTTTTCATTCAATCTAAATTCGAACGTTGTGTCGAACTTTCTTCGTAGATTAGTGGGACTCGATTCGATATGACCACTAAGGTCAGAATATTTATCTTCATAGTCATTACCGAAACAAAGGTAATGATGGTGTAACACACCTTCCAGGTATGGATTTAATTTACAAACATCAAATTTTATTCTGGGTGGCCACAACATGGTGGAGTCTCCCCACGGCGTGGCCGTATTTTTGGGTCGTAGGCTTTTAATGGACCGCCACGACGTGGCTATAGGTGTCACGGTGTGGCAACCGCTGTTGGTGAAAACCCTAATTTTTAGATTTTGATCCCTATTTAAGCATCATTAACTCCCAAGACCTTTTCCCTCATTGGCCTCCATTGCCCACTTCGTCCCTTACAACCCCTAATCTTCATTTGTGGTGTCTTGAGCTCATTTTGGTGTTTGGTGTCCACTTTTGAAAGAAGGAAGCCATTGGGAAGCAAGGAAGGAGCTCCAAGCTTTGTAGATATGAGTTTTACACTTCTTGAACAACCCCCAGAAGGTATAAAGTTATGAACTTGATGATTATCTCTCTAGATATTGCTTGTTTTAGAAGTTATGTGCTTTTAGTCCCATATCCTTGGTCTAGGTGAGTTTGGATTGCTCTAGACCAAATGAGTTTCCCTTTTGGACGTTTTGGGTTGTTTAGAGTTATAAAAATGGGATCTTGTCCCTTCAATTTTCTCTATGCATGTATTATGTGGCTTAGAACATTGTTAAATGATAGGATTTAAGATTTGGACACCTTATAGCCATGCAAAGTCATAAAGTTGGAAACTTTATGACTTAGAATGTTATTTGAGACTAGGACTGAGTTTTGGACGAAAGGACTTTAGGGATTAAGAGCTTATTGTTTAAGCCATGTTGAGATTTTGCTCTTTTTAGACTTAGAATTGAGATCTTTGCTCACTGGATTTCGTATCCGGGTATATTGGATTGATATTATGTTGAGTATGTGTTAGATTGGTAGATCTGTATGATTACCTGTGTTCATTGATTATGCGTTAGATTGGTAGATGTGCATGATTACATGTGTTGTTGGTTATTGATTGTTAGTGTATATGACGACATGTTATGGTTGATGAAGGCCAAGATACTCAGGGTGGTCCCGATAGACTGAAGGCCTACGAGGCGGTCCGGTCAGGCCAAAGGCCCGGAGAGCAGTCTAGATAGGTTGTAGGCCTTACGCGGTGGTCCAGTCAGGCTGAAGGCTCATTTATGCATTGTAACACCCAAAAATTTCAAGCCAGTTTAAAACTTTTAAAACAATTCAAAACCCATTAGTCATTACAAAAATGTTTTCAAAATAGTTTAATATCAGAGTATCCCATAAACAAAGTCATAAAAAGTGAGGAGCTGTACGATCACGCCTTTGCCTTGCCACGATCCCCTGATGCACCAGAAACAATAAACTGAAACTGTAAGCCCGAAAGCTTAGTGAGTTACCCCCAAAATACCGATACACATACAGTCCACATAACAATATCAGCAATATCAACAATATCATAACATAACAAACTGAACAACATGTAATGGGTTCCCAGCTTTACAGACTGGAATGCTCCCGAGCCCACAGTACGAGTCTCCCTTTAGCCCGTAACTGGAATGCTCCTAAGGTCTGCTGGCTACCGCACGGAGCAGTACAACCTCAACCCATCCCACATATCATATAACATACAAATATATCATAACAAACTGAACAACATGTAATGGGTTCCCAGCTTTACAGACTGGATTACCCCTGAGCCCACAGTACGAGTCTCCCTTTAGCCTGTAACTGGAATGCTCCCGAGCCCACAGTACGAGTCTCCCTTTAGCCCGTAACTGGGATGCTCCTAAGGTCTGTTGGCTACCGCACGGAGCAGTACAACCTCAACCCATCCCACATATCATATAACATACAACATAATCACTGAGCATGCAATAAACATATAACATCACAGGTAGTCCTACAGGTCTACCTAAC